TCAATACATTCTGGGCGCCTGATGTCAACAAAAAAACCTTTACTTAAATGTAAAAAAAAACTTAAAAAGTGAACAAAAAAAAAAATCCGAGTAAACTGTCCCTTTTTGGGTAAACCCACAAAATTTTCCCTTTTTGACTACATATTTTTTAATTAAAAAATTACAGAAATAAATTATTATTCAAAAAGCCTATGTATTTAAATATTATTTTGGGAAAAAGAAACTAAAAAAAGGAAAAACATGAAATTGGAAAACTGTTAAAAATGTCCCAAACCCAAAAAAATTTAAAAAAATGCATTTTTAAAACCCATTAAAAAACCTTCAGATCACTAAAAGGGAAAAAAATGAAACTTATGCTAGCCCTTTGGTAAAACTGTACAAAAGGTTTTTGGAACCCCAAAGAAATTTTGGTTTTATAATTTTTTTTAAAAAATTTTAAAAGTGAAAAACCCAGTATGCCCCCAAAGTTTTTTAATTTCTCCCAATAATTCATAAAAAAAGTATTAATCCCATTTACTTAATTCATTCCCAAATTTCAAACTCCCAAAATTACTTTCATTTTCAAAAAGCAAACGACTATAGATTCCCATAATTATTTTTAAAAGTTTTTGTTCATTAAACCCAATGGTATTAATCACTTTGGTCATGGTAAGTGCTGAAGAAAAAATGTTTGCAGCTCGTGAAAAGTAACAAATATAATAAAAAAAACCTTGGCACAGTTGTAAACTTGTTCATAGTGTGTAAAACAAAATATTATTGCAGCTGATTCGAACAAAAATTAATATAATTTTAACAAAAACCTTGGCACGGTTGGTAATACGTTCATTAGATGTGTAAAAAATATTATGCAGCTTGATGAAAAAAAATTAATATACAAATGTAATTAAACCCACAAATTTGGCACGGGTTGTAATTACTGTTTTAATAGACGTGTGGAAAAATTGCAGCTAAAAATGAAAGTTACAACTAATAATACACAAAAGGTTGGACTGGTTGTAATTGTCAACAAAACTTGCAGCGGAAATGAAAAGTAACAAATATAAATACCACAAAATCTGGCACATTGAGAAATACTGTTTATAGACATGAGTAAACAAAATATGCAGCTGATGAAAAAAGTAAAAAATAGTTTTGTACAAGTTTTGTAAAAATCAATAATAATTAAAATGTGATATTAGCAACAGAAGATCAAATTTGTTTGTGAAGAAATTCATTAAAAAAGATGTCAGTAAAATAGTTGTTTCAAGTTATTTCTACCGATATTTCAAAGGTTCAAACAATAATCAACCATAAAAAGATTACAAGAATCATCATTGTAAAAATGTATTCACATTTATTTTTTAAAGGTTAATCACGATATCAATTTACATGTGTTCCTGTTTTGTGTTCAAGTTTTTGACAAGATGTTATTAATTGTATTGATCAGTATCAAAAACATTCCCCAAAGCATTTAATGTCCTTGATTTAAGATAGTAAAATGTTCTTTTGTTTGTTTTGTGTTCATTTTAAACGGGCCTTTTATGTCATATATGGGGGGTAGTTTCCTAACCCATCATTTCTGGAGAGTTACAACCAAAGTACTAGACTACCTTCCTCGTGGCAGTAACAATGTTTAAAATGGGAAAAAACAAAAACAGGCATATAGACAACAGAAAAACAGCGATAAGATAGGTCAAACAACAAAACATTAAGTGGAGCAGCAACTATTATCTGACTTAGAGGCAAAATTTGACTAGACAAGAATTTTGCATTTCAAGAAAGACATGGGCTAATGCTGATGACCTCAAACGAGTTAAAATTAGCAACAAAAAGTATAACAAGATAAAACAAATAGAACGCTTACTGTAGTTCTGGGAACCCTTGTCCACATTTTTAAAAAATACCTTTGATACATATTGGACCATTTTCAATCAGTGGAATAACTTATTATGCAGATAGAAGTAAAGGGTTTGAAAATGTAAAATAAAAGTCATCTATTTTTATGCTTTTTTGAGTGTCTTACTGATGTATCCGTGAAAAATGATATTTGAATAATTTCGACAGTGAAATGAATTAACAATTTTTCAAACTTTTCTATGACAAGACTATTTTTTAAAGAATTTTATCATCAATTCAAATTTTTTTTATGAATTCAAATAAATAATATCATGGCTATTCAACGTTGAATGTCAAACTTATTTTTCAGCCCAAGACTTCCCCTGTATTTATGAGAAATTGGACTTAAAAATTCAACTAAAATTGATGGTTTACAGTGGGGAAAAACAGATTTAATATTAACATTAAAATATTGAGGAAATTTCATTAGCCCATAAAAATAAAAAGACACTTTTTTACTGTTTGTTGTGGTAAGATGTAATTTTATATCATTGAAGGAACTTTAAAAAAGCAGTGCTTCACGAAGCGCATAGCCACTCATGAGAATACTGTTTTTAAAGATCTCTTGATGAATATAAAATTTCATCTTACAACAAACAAACAAATATCCTCATATAAATTTGCATTTTTTAAATTAAAAACCATGTCTAGTCACTTCCTTCATTTTCTTCAGGTAAGGTTCTGACACTTTTGTCTTGCTTGCTTTCCATTCCCCCATCGCGGGTCCTACGTCCCGCCTCCAGCCCAGCCACTTTGAAAACCTCTATTTCACAACATCTTACCTCGTTGCAGCCTTTTGTCGGCAAGTTCCTTTTGGACACATTTCTACAAAACCCAAGCATTCTTATCCTTAAAGAATGAAATGAAGTAAAATGAAGGTATTGAAACATTCAAAGGTCTTAGCCCAAACTTGTAGCATTTTGAGCAGTTATAAATTGGAATATAAACTAATTCTGGTATGTTTTAAACAAATATAGATGTTTTTGATCCCGGTTTTTAACATAGCTTTTTAAAACAATATTTCTGTGATATCGCTGCAGTCAGTTGTAAGGCTGAGATCATCTTATCGGTGTATCAGTAAAGAATGTTAAGGTAAGCAAATAACTTGCTTTACAGGCAAGGTGATTTCTGTTTTTAATATTATGCATCACAACACAATGCATGGGATAAAACCCAACAACAGCAGTAAAATATTCTCTCTTATTAATTTCCATAAAAGCTAGTCAAGCATTTTCCTTTCATTAAAGCAATACCCGAAGACACAATAACCCAAGATCTTGGATAATATATCTATTTTGGGAGGACACACTTTGCAATTTGGTAAGAAATATCAACTTACTATATCAATACCATTCAGTATCTAGAGGGCCCACAAACTTTTATTCGTTCCTCCCTTCAGTCACTTCATATTGGTACATTCTGCCAGTTATTTGACATGGTTTTTTTCATCAAGCGGTCACAGTTTCTCCCGTACATCTGCCATAAGACCAAAACATTGAGAGGAACCGCACCTTAAATAAAGCAGAACATAAACTTTTTTTTAATGGGTTAATTTTTACACTACTAAGAGCGATTGGGCTGCAAGTCACCAAATGACAAAATAATTTGTCAACTGGTACCTCAAAAACATAATCTGCCAAGAAAACTGTTTTGGATTGACAAATTAAAAAAGGATCTTTCCTCATATATTTTAAAGCCTAGGACAAACACCTTAGTGACTTGTGCCTTTTAATGTTTGTCCCCTCCACCGAAGTGTTATGGGGAACATTATCATTGTTTTTTTTTAACAAAAAGAGTTTTACAATATCAACAGAATAATTTTTGATAATTATAATAACAGCTCAATTCCTGGATTTTGTGGGTACTTAGTCATTTTCCTGGTATTTTTGAAAGCTGCCAGGCATTTTTTGATTTAATGAATTGACTGTCTTTCCTAATTAAAAATTAATGTGAAAACGAGGCAACTTTCCCCTGTTTCTCTCAAAACCCATTTTAAACATTTTAAAATAAATTTAAATGTGTTTAATTGAAACAAAAAATTCAAACATGCCATTTTTAAATCTGAAATTAATGAGCAAATGTTTGGGCCCCCTGTGCAATATTTTCTAACATAAATATAGCAGAATGATTAAAACATTATCATCAAATGCTCACCACAGACCCTTTGTTTCTTCGCTTTTAGGCCAGGGGTATGGGGAAAACTTTTTTTTTTAGTTACTAATTGGGGCAACATACATTACTAAACTATCTTAAAAGATGAGAGCATTGCTGATCTCCCCGAACTCAATTTGAATGCTTCCATCTGCTCAGAATAGGGAATGAGATATCTTTTCGGAAGTTTGCAGCGGTTGGTCAATCTGCTGCTGGACCTTAAACAGCATTCGCTGGCACATCCTCTTAATTTCAAACGATTCTTCTCTCGCATTGTTCCTCCAAGACTGCGGAGAATCTGTGTACAGCAGCTGAAAAAAAAGGATTCCATAATTCTAAGCCATATGACTTTTAGAGATATGTTGTGGTCGGATCCATGCTGGTCGCAAACCCTTATGTTGGTTTTTGTCATGACCCGGCTCAAATGAAAAAATCCAGTATTTTAAATTTTTCCTTGGCCTTTAAACAGTAATTAACGCTAAAATCCGGTCAAAAGGATTGTTGAGTGTGCAAGGTCACAAAATGTGAAAATGATAAGAATCATGAATTAAACTTAACATATTTTTGAGCCTAGGCATGTCATTTGGTGAAAATAAACATTCTTGACTCTTCCAGGGACCGTAACTTTTTGGATAACAGTAGTGGGGTCAGGCCAAGAATATGCGCACAAATTCGCAAGTCATGGTATAAGAACTAACACAAGTAATCATCAAAATTTCTTTTGAATACATTTTTGAACTAGGGGCGTCCCACAAGGTGAAACTTTCCATTTTTTTTGGCTGTGGTCAACTCAATCCAGCTTGTTTATAACATTTATTGACTTTTGTTTTTGAGAATATAACATTTAATAAGTATGTACTGGTAATAATAAATAATATTTATAGCTCCGAAGTTTATACTTACTGGCCCAATAATCTGCCCCAGGAAGGGTGGTATCAGAAGCCCTTTGTTTATTGGAGAAGCAACTTTGCACATCACTGCTGGCCTCCGCTCGCCAAAATGCCTGTGCAGATAAGCCGAAGGCGGAGATGAAAGTAGGCTTTGTGACTCTTTGGGCGTTGTTGCTTGGTCATAACTTGTGGTGGCCCTACTCTCTGTGTCTGTCTCATTTCATCAGTGCCACTATCCGATTCATACAGCCTTTTTGATGGCCTATTTACATAAAATGAAAATATACATTAATAAGTAATTATAAAATACATATACATTAAGTGAGTTATTTGGCGCCAAGTGACAATATGATTATGACCCGTAATCGGCTGGGCAAACATGTACTAGTCTATGTTTACATACGAATTGTTGTGCCGCAATTTTGTCTACCAAGGTTTTTTAGCACGAATGCGTTTGTTTCCCCGATAAGATATTTCATGAACGGGAAGGGCTAAAGACTTGGGGTTCGGTCCATTTGGAGCTTATACAAACGTGAAAGTTGATAAAAGATTTTTTTTAATTGTCTGGACAATTGTTTTCACAACGGCCCGGGGAAGTGAATCCCTTGCTTGCAAGCTCGAACTGGAGTTTCTGGCCCTTCTCTTAACTTAAAGTATGTTTTTAAAGGGGGGTATAATTTTAACAATTTTTTTTCGGTTTTTTGACTTTTTAAAGATGAACACAGGTTTAATTACCTGTCTATCGGGTCATATTTTTTTCTTCCCAGGTCCGATACTCGTGCCTGTGCAACATAGGGCTTGGTTGGTACTTGGAAAAAATACTTGAAATTTGTAATAATAAAGTATTTTGCATTTTAAAATTTAAAAATGCTTATGAATGAAATATTGGTACAAAAAGGAAGGGACTTCTAAGGCCTAGGAGGGGTCACTGGATTGTCAAATGATGGTGTCCCTTTAAAAAAGATCTCTTAAAAAATTTAGTCTAGATAGAAACAATATTATTAAAATGTTAGTGTCGACTCCGGTCACAGTTAAAGTTATTCAACAATAACAAACTAAACACACCCATAGGTCAGCTAAAGTGCCTTATAGTGGGCGTAAATTCTAGAAAATGTCGGCAAATTAAACTGACAAAAACTATCGCGAAATTACATGGCAAAGGCAAAAACAAAAAAAATAAATGACGTTTTACACTTTATTACACACACAATAAATCTCTGTAAGGATATAATATGAAAGGCCGTTATACCGAAATCGTCTTTTTTAAATGTTCCGAATTGAAATGAAATATTGTTTTCGTGTACAATTTTACAATTAACGTTTCAATACACAATTTTGATTTTAAGCGGCAGCGGAAATCACGTCCTGCGCATGCTCGAAATAAATTTTTCATCAAAGTGCTGATTTTTATAAAATTATTTCTGAATTAATAGTCTAAAAACACATTTTTATATTTAGATTATAAAAATTAAAACCAATATAAAAACTAAACAAATTTAATTTTTCGGGACCTGCTCAGGGATTTTTCTAAAAATTTATTGGGTTGCCCAATACCCATATGGGTCCCTATCAAAATTTTGTTAATGCTACGATTTTCAAAAAGATAATAGCAATTTATTTCCAAAAGGGGTTCAAATATACCCCTAAGGGAAACAATTCTAAAAAAATAAAAACGAAAAAAAGTTTTTCCCTTTTAGTGCCCGTAATATGGCCCATATTTTCCAAATATCTCCAAATGGATTTCCCATAAAATTTGGGCCCCCATAGGTCCCAAAATGGGGTCCCCCTTTTTCTTTTCCTAGAAAAAGCCCCCTTTTGGGTTTCCCATAAATGCATTTTTCTGGGGCAGGCCTTAACCTTGAAAAATGGGATTATCAATTGGGAAAAAAATACTTGGGGTTTGATAAAAGGGTAATAAATATTTAGCTAAATGTTTCTTGTTTTTATTAAATTAAGTGTTTTTACATTGTAATTAACAGTCAAACAAAGCCAAACCACATGCCAAACAATAATAGAATAAAGAAAATTTAAAGCAGCACGCCTCCAGATTTATGCTAATTTTCATGAAAATTTTGAAAATGTATTTGAATGTGTAGTATTGTGAAGTAAGCAAAAGACAGCAATTTACACATTATCAATGGCACTTTCAAACCATGTAAATTAAAAAGTGGTCAAAATATGCATAAATTGCCCTTACTGCGTTAGTAACGCAGTAGAAATGTGGTTGCAAATACTGAAAATCAGTCATTAATCGCACATAGCATGTAAAATATTACTTGAATCTTGAAACTATTTACTTTTCCTTACATCTTAGAACATTTTTCTCAAGTTTAATTTTATTGGAATATTTTTACTCATCTGGAGGCATGTAGCTTTTAAGATTACATTTATTAATTTATAAAGGTAAAAAGATCTTCGGAAAATTCACTTACAGATGCTCTAAATGAAACAATTGTCTCACGTATACATAAATATATACAAAAACAAAAATATTTGATAAACATGTATATAACATTCTCGTTTAATAGAAGAAAAAGCTCCTCTCAACTTCATAGGAGTAAAGTGAAATTGATTGTAGAGTAAACAAACGAGTTGCACTTTGTACTGCATCTGCAGCAAATAGATCATGTAAGAACTGGTTTTTCTATGTTAATGATATGTTAAAAAATTGTAATGCGCACCAATATAGTGATATAAGAATTTCCATTCCAAAACATACTATAGTGAATATTGTTACTACTAAATTGCAAGTAAAATTTGTTTTAAACTGGCTCGAATTCTTTGAATAGTGTCACAGGTCCTTCTGGTCCGTGGTGGCAATAAGTGCGTACATTATCGACTGTTTAAAACAGAATATGAGACAGAATTATATTGTAAACTCATTATGCCCTCCTTGTCATCGCACTGCATTTAGCAAGTTTCGTTGTGGTGTTGCGCCTTTACGCATAGAAACTGGGCGTTACGAAGGCTTAGATGTATTGGAACGAAAATGCCAGTTCTGTGACAGTAATTGAAGACGAAAGCCATGTCATTCTTGATTGCTTTGTGTACGATGACTTGCGACAATCATTATTTGATAAGGCTAAAACAGTAGATAGTGCATTTGTACAAATGTCTAAAAATGAACAATAAATATTTCTGTTCACTAAAACTGAAATGATACGTTATTGTGCCAAAACCTGTTTTAACATTCTACAACGTCGTTTTTTATTCTCTTGTAAATAATGCCATTATATTTGCTTTAAACATGATAATGTATTTTACCTAGGTTTAAGGTAATCCTTGCTAATCAGGTCATGCAAGATCTTATCTTGGATGATAAATCGATCTTTTAAAAACGTTTTTTATAGGCGCGATAGGGCTCCGATTTACAATTCTCAATTTCTTAGCAGTTTTTATTTTTCGATTAGCGATGGTTACCTTACTTTTAATATTTTGTTTAAATACATTGTAATTTTACTATTTGATTTTAGTCTTAGACTAACTGTATAGGTCTTGAATATGTTTATTATTGATATAATGTCTCTTAAAATTCTTAAATAGAATGGTCGTATGCAGAATTTATGTGAATATGTGTAAATATGTATAAAAATGTATGTATACGAATGAGACAAAAATAAAGTATGAATATAGTTGACAATATAACATAGGATAAAATAATGAGCATTATTAAATACTATATCACATACGAGTAAAACTATGACATGCTCACCAAAACCAAGGATAACACAAAAAAGGGCAAAAAAGCTCTTATTTCCATTGTGGTCCTTTGTATTGGCGGCATGACATAGAGAGGCAAACCTAAATATAATCATGTTTAAAAAAACTAATAAATCATAAAAATGTATATCACAGTCAAATCTTGAGTTAATGATACTCCTGTTTCTAGCTAGGATTTAAAACACATTACTAAAATTTTAATAAGATAAATAGCAGACAATTTAAAATCCTGAGCCGAAATATGTAAAAACATGTTTAAAAAAATTTTAAATACTGTTCATAAGATGACTTTTGATGGCAACCTTAAAACTTTGTAACCTGTTGATCTCCGTTAACTTTACAGGTAAATCATTCCATAATTTAATACCAGAGAAAGCAAAGGATTTAGAACCCTGGCCTTTGACCTTAGGTAGACAATATCCACCCTTTTGACTAAGTCTTGTACTATAATTATGAATGGAATCTTGTGAAATAAAGTGTTCAGACATGTAATCCGGAGATAGGCCATTTTTTATCTTAAAAACATGACACAACATTATCTGTTCAACTCTTTTGTGGACCGGTAACCAGTTAAGGGACTTAAAGTGGGATGGGTCAATGTGGGCTCTGGAGTCCAAGTCAAGTACAAATCTCATTATTTTGTTTTGACAAGTTTGTAACTTATTTTTTAAAGACTGTGTCAAGCTAATATACCAAACAGAGCATGCGTAATCATAGTGACACTGAATAAGAGACATAACCAGAAGTTTCTTGGTATGCTGAGTAAGAAACTCTTTCTTGCGGTAAAGAAATTTTAACCGAGAGTTTGCCTTCTTAAGAACAGACTCGGCCATGGCGCAAAATGACAGATTTTGGTCTATAGTAATCCCAAGATACTTGATAGATGAAGTTGATTCAATGGATGTACCAGAACAGGTTATATGCAGGTATCTAATATGCGTAATATATTTAAAGCTCCAAACAGTTATCTAAATAGGTCTTTAAATTATTATTTATTTCTTTCTTTTGTTAAACCTTTGAAAACTGATCAGTCGTTCAATTTTCATCAAAATAGGGTCAATTTAAACGGTTCGTTTCATTTTAATTAAACGTCTGAAACACAAGTTTACAAGTATAACGAGGCTTAGCGTCTGCCACTCTGATCATGGGAAGTAACCGTTGCTGAGACTTTGCTGATAAACTACAAACATTTCGTGGCAGTTACTTCCCCTATCAGTATAGTTAAAGGGGCAGGGGACCTAAAAATGAAAAATTTTGTATTTCAGTGTGACCAGAAACACAATTCCAAATATTTCCAAAATCTGTTTCACGGGCAGATAACCAGTTGCACAGCATTATTCAATGATATATGACATACATTGAAGAAAATAATAGTTTGCCTGCATTGCTCCTTCAAAAAATGACTGACAGCAATTTATATTTACCCCCACTTAGCCAAAATCACACCTAAAATATATCAATATGGGCAATCTTCATGAAGGTGCAGCATACTCCAGAATCCGCCCGATTCCTTTAAAAATATCAGTAACACGCAGTGCAGGCCATGGCATTTTCAGAAATGACCAATAAAGTGTCTATCATACGTTTAGATTTTTCACAAAATTTATCTGAAATTTCTTACTTGTTTGGCGCCGACTGTCAAAGCTTGATTTTTAACTTTTTCACCTCCATTCGGAGAGTCAGAAATACATACAAAGCTACCAAAATGCTTAGTTTCGGGTAAAAACCCCAAAATACTTCTCATTTCCTACACACAAACAAGAAAGAATTACAATGACAGAGAAATATCAGAAGTTATCAGTACCTTCAAAACACCATGTCTGAGTTATTAAAAAAATTGACCCGGGGCCATCATTCGAATATGTCCCCTGCCCCCTTAACTTGATGTTACGAACGCACAACCCAAATTTATGAGAGATTGAAACATAAAACGGCATATAATATGCATTCTGAAAGAGGTAGGGGGAATTTTCGTTTAAATAATAATAACAATAGCAGACATTTAATTTATACTAGCAGGCGACACTCTGAGATAGCGGAAAACAAAAGCATACATTATTCTGCACATCTAATGTAATATTATACCGGTAGTTCATTTCATAAGTAAAATATAGTAGTCCATTATCAAAGTTATTGTTGATGAATTGGCAAAATGTTAATTTCTCCGGACCCACATTAATTAAACGCAAAAATATCCATCACTTAAAAATCTGAAAGGAATATAGAAATATTACTATGTATAATTATCGGCATATTTCGTTTGTGATACAGGTGTTTATATTTGTAATTTTTATTTTATCACGTTACATGCGGATCGACACAGTGCGAAACGTGATGTTTCAGGTATGGTCTTCTTGAATTAAACGAAACAGAAATTATGTGGTTTTTTTTGTGTTTTTTTTCGATATAATACAATGAATACAAATGAAATCGCAAGTACTTTGTATTCAAAAACAAAGCAAGAAATAGGAAAAGAAACAAATACTAAATTTAAATGCAACATAACCCTTCAATGTTACAAAAAAAATCGAAAGTAAACGCTTATGATAGTTTGTTTTGTTTGATATCTCACCTTTGAAAAATATAAAATATCAAGGATGAAACTGTTATTTCAATATCTATGTGTTTAAAATATTTTCATTTTAACCAAAATAAATAATACTAAATGAAAAAAAATGCAAGCGAATCATTATTTAAAATAAATCTCAGAAAAAAACTTAAGCGGATTTGTGCTGACGGCATGCAATACTCAAAGAAAAAAACAAATAATGACATTTGAATTGAAAATAAATACTAAACATAATTGTGTCACATTATACGCTTTGAGTTTTCCTCTATAATATAATGATATAACTGTTTACAAAGAAAATGAAGTAATAATAAGAAACAAACGTGCAATGTATTAAAAACATAATTTATAACTCTGAATTACAAATATTAGTGTTTTTACAAAAGAATTTATCTTGACTATTCTTCACTTTTCCTCCCGTTTAGTAAGGAGTAAAGTATCTGAATAAAGATAAACTCGGTGATAGTATTGTAGAGACATTTACACTATTACTTTTATCTCACGGCCATACAAGTGAATTATACAAGCATATTTATTTTTTGAAACAGTCCTTAATGTTATTTTATGTCAAACATTTTGATGAAATTGCAGTCAACGGAGGACTTAAATTCACTAATGAACATTTTATTTTGCTCTTTAGAAATGTTGATATTAAGTGGTTGCAATACATGCTGCGAATGGAAAGGCAGAATTTCTCTCGTACCAGGTACAATAACTCCAAGCAGATCGCTTTTCATTGCATAACAAACAACAGCACATCCGCAGTTTGTGACTGTTAAGCCTGCTGGTGTACCATTATTCTCGGTTTCCCACTGAGATACCAGTTCTCCTTGGAGTGTAAATTTATACACGACACCGCTGCCACTGTCCGACACAAACATATATTTATTATCTGTACTCAGATATACATACATCGGATATTTCAATATGCTTGTATCTCTAACCTCATGGAGGATTTGACCTTCCATGTCCAATACCTGAACAGCGGGAGGATTAAGAAAGGCCACTGCCAATATACCATTGCGATGATTTATTCCAACACATCCTTTCCTGACATTCAGACTGTGACTTTCAGTCAAACCGTTTTGCGTATTCAAAAACACGATTTTGCCTTCATGTGGTATACATGTTGCAGCAGATGATGAACTAATTTTGGTTATGTCTGTGGAAAAATCTGACAATTTCAATGTTGAGGTGACTTTATTATCTCTATAATTTAAAATTTTTAACGATTCGTTGTTGCGGTCTGCTAACAGAATTTCAGCTTCAGATATAAAAGTAATTCCTGTTATAAAACAATTTCCTTCATTTTTTGCCTGGCAATTTACTTTGTTAACAAAATGTGCCTTCACGTCATAAACACATTTCTTGCATTGTCCTGAAAATGTTTTTACTTTTGTTTCAAGACTGCCAAAGGGTGTTTTATGTTTCTTCAAAGTATCAAAACCTTCAGATACTTTAAAATTTAAAGTGTTTATCTGACTCTTGGCTGAAATGGTTTCATTTATTTTTTGACATTTTTCCAAACTTCTCTGTACACGCTTAGATGTCACAAACAAATTGTTGACCTTGTATTTGCACTGATCCAGTTTTCTTTGAAATTCTTTCATTTCATCAGATAATGCCTCGCACTGACCTTGAAGCTTTTTTTGTGACGATACATCTCTATCATTCATTTCTTCAACTTTTTGTAAAAGGTCTGCTTCCATTTTGTCTAGATAATTATCCATTTCTTTACTAAATAACTTAATTTCTTTAACGACCTCGGTCTTTATTTGATCCGCTGCTTCCAAACTGCATTTTATTTCTTCTTTACAAAGAACAAGGTTTTTCCTGAGGTTATCAATTCTATGTTTAATCAAATCGAGGTCGACATTGAAGCCATAATTACTTGATACATCGGAAACGAGCTGAACCTTGCAAGAGGTATGTTGAAGTACCATACAATCTCCACAACCAACGCTGTCGTGCTCTTGACAATAAAACTTTACTATTTCGTTTACATGAACATCACATAGTTCAGTGCACGGGTCAGTTTGAGTCTGATATCTCGGCATTTCATCTTCGGATTTGATAACATGATATTTGGTTGTTGCCAACTTCCGGTGTGCCTTTATGCATGATGAACATATAAATTCGTTACAATTATCGCAATAGCCCTCTGCTTGTACAGTATCACCGTCACGCTGGCACGGCTGGCATAATCTAACAGAAGATTCCTTACGTCCAGAGACTTCCATTTTAAATTTAATCAATGAAAAGTACAATGTTGCCTCTTTAAACACATATTATGTCGTATTCACAAATAAGAAAGACACAGTTCTATTTATTTTTATATAAAGCTTTCATGTTATATAACATGTAATTCTCTTTTAACTTGTAGTGTTTATTGTGCACAAGAATAAAACACTATTTATTTACTTCGTTACTGAACATGCCAAATTGATATTAAATAAATCCAAATATCAAGTTTTGTATTGTTACAATATCGTAAATGTTTCTTTTTGAATAAAACTAATTAAAATCCTTTAGCATGACGAATTTTGTCTAACATTTTGAAAGCTACAAAGAAATATTTTCCTAAAATATCACCAAGGAAGTAAATTTTAGGAATACAAGGGAGATAAATCTAAACGTTTGAAACCACGAGTCTTTTGTTAACACATGATATTTATAGTAACATGTATTGATTACGCTTCAATAGAATGTGCATGTATGAAAATAGCATACCGTTTTGCATAGGGTAAATTTTATAAACCATTATAAGTATAAACATAGCTTCTGAATAATCTTAATAAGTGTACTATTAACTTTCAAGTAAATAAGACCTGCATTTTAAACCTTTACCTCGTATTCAACACAGAATTTATTAAGTAAGAATAATGTCTGCACCTGGGGGACGTCCGTTACACCGTTTATTACGGAAAACTTTAAATCAATTTTGTTCAAACTATTTAATGAGCGTAGCTGACTCGGTAGCAACTGGTGTAATGAAACTATATATTGACAAATTAAATATAAAGACATTTCGTGAAGTGTAAAATCTATATTGGGCTGACGTTAGATGTTTTGTTTATATCTTGAAAAGGAACGTACCAAAATTGAAGGAAAAAACTGTTAATTTCCGATGAAGCAGTCGAGGTTTACATGAAGCTAGCGCTAAATATATTATAACAGCATTTCAAAATATTTTATTCTGTTTGCTCATAGATGATGCTTAAAAATGAGATGATCGTCTTTCTTTAAATATTTTCTCATAAGAGCATACAATTAATGAAAAACGATAAATGTGAAAGTTTGAAATTCTTATTGTATTATGTTTTTCCATTAATAGCTTCACAACCTGTAATTCTAGATGTCCATGTAATATATTCATTTATAAAGCTTTTTCATTTAAATTTTCCGTTTCCTGTTAGGTTGAGATATTTGTCTATATTTTTTTCTCACCTCTTTCTATCTTTTTTCAGATTTATAAGTGTAATGAAGTATGTGACTTTTGATTTTTTGGATGTTATGTTCATTTAAAATGCAAAATTTAATGTGATAAATAATTTTTGTTAGAGATTTATTAACTTTCTATTGGAATTTCTGAGTATTAGTTCTCTTATCATTTATTAATTTTGCTTACAGAATTAACACATTTCTCAATAAATGTGATGGGATGTATACGTTTTATTCAACGTTTGTATTTCTTATTTATTGTAAAACACCACTATAGGCTGACACAAAGATAATAGTTTTAGCTAATTTGCAAGGTATAGAAAATGTCTGAGGCGTAAATTTTCTTTTATTGATTACCTCCAATATTTTAAAGCCTTTTGTATGTTCTCATTTCAGAGAAAATTAAGAATTTAAGTATGAAATGACAGTGAATAATAAATCAATTCTACAGACAGTAAAAAGGAGCCTTTAAATTATTATGCTTATATCAACAAATAAAAAAGAGTATTATAAATTCACATTTTTAAATAGTTTCTTACAAATGTATACATAATTTTGTTGGGTTTTTTTTGTTGTTGTTTGTTTATTTTCAAATTTTCTTTTTAACAATCATACATTATAAAAACTTGAGTTTGAAAATGAAGATTGACTTCAATCTGTAACACGTGATAACATTTTCTCTGACATACGTCTTAGTCAGTTCAATATTTAACAAAACAATTTTAACGATATATGAAATATGGTGATGCTTTAAATAAGACGTCACGATAAACGATATTGACAGAGATAACTGACGTGGTTTCGCCATACATCTGCACATGTAAATGTCGTAAACATTTTACGTTAGTTGATTTACAATCGATATACATGTATTTGAAATGTTTCTGAAGAAACGAATTGAATAGGAAGAAATGTTACATACAAGTATATACATGTACGTAAAAACGTTCTTACAAAACCTCCTATGTGCGTTATCTATAATAATTTACGATCGTTACATTTTTACTTCAATTTATTTTGTAATTATCGTATATTTGGTATCAGTATAACCCCATGTCGATAAATACTGTAGAATAAACCTCATAATGCGACAAAAAATGCTAACTAAACAATAACCACATATTATTTTCCTTACATCAAAATTACTGACCGACTGAATCTTGCATTTCGACACTGGGATTTGTCAGTGAAATTAAATATAACAAAAATAATCTCATACTGTCGCATAATTATTGGAAAATCTTTAAGTCATGTTTTCTTTGTCGTGAACAAATTTAGATCATACCATTTCCAATACATGTATGTATATGTTTAGCGGCAAATATGTATACGTTGGTGATACAGGCGATTAAGTTTGTAATTTATATTTTATCCCGTGACATATGGATCGACACAAAATGCAAAACAGGGTATTTCAGGTACGGTGTTCTTAATCAAACGAAAGAAACATCATATCTTTGTTTAATTTATTCCGATATAATATAATGAATACAAATGAAAACATTTAAACTTGTTATAAAAATTAAAGCAAGAAATAAAATAAGAATAATGGTGGTAACATACTCAAATTGAAATACAACATAATTCTTCAATGTTACAAAGAATTCGAAAATAAACGCTAATAATTATTTGTTTATTTTTAAAGCTCAGCTTTGTAAACTATAAAATAAAAGACAAAATTGTAATAATAAAATCTATGCGTTAAAAATATCTTCATGATATGATTATTAAATTTAAAACATGCAAGTAAATAATCTTTTAAAATAAATCACAGAAAAATACGGTGGCAAAAATGTGACATGTGTAACTTAGTCGTGGCCACGAGATAGCTAAGTCGTGGCCACGAGATACTATGTCGTGGCCACGAGTTACTAAGTCGTGGCCACGAGATACTATGTCGTGGCCACGAGTTACTATGTCGTGGCCACGAGTAACTAAGTCGTGGCCACGAGATAGCTAAGTCGTGGCCAGGAGATACTATCTCGTGGCCACGAGTTACTATTTCGTGGCCACGAGTTACTAAGTCGTGGCCACGAGATAGCTAAGTCGTGGCCACGAGATACTATGTCGTGGCCACGAGATACTATGTCGTGACCATTAGTTACTTAGTCGTGGCCATAAGATAGCTAAATCGTGGCCACGAGATAAATAACCAATCAGAAAGCACCATTTATATGAATTTCCCTTATTAACTAGGCATGTGCTATAGTACAAGGATGTCCCTACTTCACCAGCCTGTTAAAGTGCCATTTATACAACTTATTGACTGGCCAATAATTTTACATTTAGCGTCACTGTATGGAAGCTTGAATTGACCCCCCGAGATGCCGTGTTCGAGATAATACGCATGTGTGCATGTCGACTTATTTTAACGCGATACGATGTGTTGTGTCGTCGCTTAACGTAATAAATAAGGCGTCTTGCCATTGAAACTTTCTACGTCTTGCTGACATCAGTTCAGACATCATCACATTTTTTTGTCTACATTTTCCATAAGACGATCTAATTTTTATCGACATATTTTTTTTGTCGATAAAATGTTAATATTTTCTCAACATCAATCCATGCAACTTAACATACCTTATGTTGATATAACTGCAAAGGTGAATGAATTTCTATGTGTCTATTCGAACATGACTGTGTTAATTTTCAAAATCACTTACTGATCAATACGCATTCTCTTCTTGTCACTGACCTATGGCTGTTTTGCAATTACTGGTAAGAACATATTTTATACTATCTAAAGCTTGCACGTTTGTTCTTTTAATTGTTTACCAATCGATTAGTGCATCTTTCAATTTAATTCTATGAAAAGTAAATTAACGAAGTCGAAAATTCTGATGGGTAAAAAAAATCTGAATTGTTGTGTTTCCCTTTATTATGCATAGGAAAATTTATTTTTAGATATTTATACTCTTTTTCACAATTCATATAATTTCAGGTATACATTTGGTTATTTTTATTCTTAAATCAAGATGTGGGAGCAGTATTTCCTGGATTTAAAGTAAACAAATTAAGATATGCTCTCGTGACCTATTACTTCCGGCTAGGATATACCTGGAAAGAGATATGTGGATTCATTTGCTGTGCACACAACATTATGATAACTCTTCGACAGATCCGTCGGATCGTTCAACGCTTAGGACTAAGAAGATACGGTTTGTACTCTCCTTTACCGAGGGCTATAAACGAAGTAAGGCAACTTTGCCACTGTGGTTTCTCAAATTCGGGCTACCGTACAATCTGGAGAGTATTACAGTCATCAGGTAAAGTTGCTGCAACTCAAGACACAGTGAGACAAATAGTCAAGGCGATGGACCCAGCTGGTGTCAACTTACGGTTAAGGCGTCGGTTACGCAGACGAATATATGTCAATCGTGGTCCTAACTTTATTATTCACATTGACGGATACGATAAGCTTAAACCTTTTGGGATATCAATACATGGGGCTATTGATGGTTACTCAAGAAATGTGCTGTGGCTGAGAGCAGCATACACAAATAACGATCCAAAGATTATTGCAAGATATTACATTGAATACATTAAAACAATAAATCAACTGCAGATGGTTGTTCGTGCGGATTACGGCACAGAAAATTCGGTCGTTCGAGATCTTCAAATGACGATTGTTCGTCTGGAAGAAAAAGCTTCTTATATGGGCGATCAACTTCAAACCAGCGTATTGAAAAATTTTGGGGTGTATTGAAAGACAATTTTACAACCTTTTGTAAAAACTTTTTTTAAGGTCTTCGCGATTCTGGCTACTTGCATGATGGTGACCCCGTCCATATTGAATGTG